GGGAGGTGAGAGTTGAGAAGCATTTTTAAGCCCAGGTGGATTCTCAGAAGGAACGGGTGGGAGAAGGGTGAGGAATGTCAGGAAGAGAGAAAGAAGAATGGGAACGATTAAGGGTCAGGACATGCTCAGGGTAGAGAGAAGTTTAGAAACTGAACAAGACCAAAGCTGATGGGTTGTGATATGTAGTGGGAAATGTGTGCTGGGACCCCATGGGACAGACTCGTGGGGCAGCCTTGTCTCACATATGGGACTCGGGCTCCGGGTTGCCTGTGACCTTCCCAGAGCCGATCCCCGTCTGCGGCTTCTTCCTTGAAGGCATTCCAAGCCGGGCTCTCACCGCCATTTGGAAATCTTGCCCGTGAAGAGTATGGTCAGGGAGTAATCTGAGCCCCTTGCTGTCTGTTAAACTACTGACACTCCAGTCATCAGAGCGCCCCGGTGCTCTCAATCCTGAATGCTCAGCAGATTTTGTGCAGTATCTGAATTATTAGTGGAGATGCTGTGCACGAGGGGGCTTGGCTGCTCGTTCTGTTCTGAGCAGGTCTTGGGCGGGTGGCCTTACGGGAAGAGAGGTCGCCGCTTGCCGAGGGATGGACGAAGCAGGCCTTCCCGAGGAGCCCTACCCAGAGGGGAGCCTGTGCCAGTGTGCTCAGAAGATCACAGCCTGCTTTGGAGGAAAGGGTAAGACCCCGTAGACTGAGCTTTGCAGAGGAGATGCCCAGGGGTTGCCCTTGTAGGCGAAGAGAAGGGTCAAACTTGAGGTTTGTTGATGGCAGCAAGAGGCAGAGCTGCTGGAGGGGGAGAGCCCCCGAGGGGCCGAGGCACACCTGAAGGTCCGGCTGTGCCCCTTCCGCTGATGTTTCCCACTTAGAAAGCTGTTGCTCTGCTCCCCCCATGGTGCTCAGCAGCAGAGATCACCCCGATAACTGGGAGCTACAGCATGCACTTGCTGAGCTCCTTTTTTGGCCAGGTTCTGATGAAAACCGGAACCCAAACTGAAAAGCCCACAACCCCATTATCCCTGATCAAGCCACAGGCTGCAAATTCAGGCCATTCCCTTAGAAAACTAAATGCCATAAAGATCCACATTCAAAGGGCGTGGTTTTGTCTCTTAAAATGTTTTTTTCTTAGTAAGAAGCAGATAGATGGCTGCGGAGACTTTAAAGGGACAGGTAGGCCTTTGTCTGGGGGAAGAAATACCTACGTCATAACAGAGAATGGAATTAAAGAAAAGTCAGAGAGCATTTCTGGAAGAAATCGCTGCAGGAGTTGACCCGTGACTGGCACATTAAGAAGTAGTAAAGGCATCCAGCCTCCGAACACGAGGGAGCCCCGGAATGCCTGGCTGGGAGGCTGGGGTTCATCTCATCATCATGGAGCTCCTGCAGCGAGCAGCGAGCTCGGGGCTCTTGGTGCGAGGGGAAGCCACTTGGTGAATTTGCCGACTGAAGGTTTCTTGTCCTAGTTTATCCTAGAAGGGCTTGTGCAGGTGCAGTGGAACTGTCACGAGAAGAATTAGGAATGTCCTACCTGATGAGGTAGGCAGGCCACCAAAACCTGGGGTGAATGTTAAGCCTTTGTAATTAGCGTTAGCTTTGTAGTGTAATGCATTGTGATGCGTCATACAACCCTATAAACTGTCCCCAAACCCATTACACTTCTTTGTAACTGCTATGCCTTTCATTTTATGGGCCGTGGCAAGAGGCTGATATCCCTGCAGTGCTAAGAAATGGGTCCACTGATGCTTTACAGACCTTCTCCATACTGTGCTTTCATGGCTGAAGAGACAGCTGTCAGGCAGAGACCCCTGAAAGCATATCTTTAAGACTGGATGCTTGGCAAGAGGTGGGGGGCAGGGAGGGACAGAATGGGGGGGAGGGGATTAACAGATAGAAGCTTCCAGCTATAAAATAAGACACAGGATCCAAGGTACAGCATAGGGAATATAGTTAATGATTAATATTGCAACAACTTCCTATGGCGACAGGTGTTGACTAGATTTATTGTGATTACTTCGTAATACATATAAATGTTGAATCACTATGTTGTACTCCTGAAACTAAAATAATATTGTATGTCCACTACACTTCAATAGCAAAATGCAAAAGTGTTTGTTTAAAAAAAAAAAAAAAAGAAAGATAGGAGGCTTGTCCTCTGCTGGGTGTTTACCCTGAACTATGTGGAAGAGGTTAGGTTAACAACTCTGGACATCCTGGCAAGTGGAACTTAGCACCCATTGTCAGTGCTGGCTGTAAATCCCAAGTGACTGGTGTCTGAGGTTTCTCTCCCTTCACTGCCTGAGAAGGAAGCCACCCCTCACATCTGTGTGTAGTCAGATTGTCTTTAAAAGCGAACAAACCTGTTATTTTCATCAGCCTTGTCTGGGTCCCCATTTAGCTCACTTTCCATCATATAACATGTATAATATATAATATGTAACACATAGATTATGTATGTTATATATAATATGTATATTAGATGTATACTATATAAGATATAATCCTTTTATTGAAGAATTTAATTTTTCCCTTATATAAGCTATCGGCACCCAGTTCCTTCTTGAACTGAATATATGAATCTCTAATCTTGGCAAAAAACTCAGAGGTGGCCTGAACATCTACTGATAACAAAAGCTAAGTGTTGAGGTGGAGTCAATGTATAGAATTCGTTTCAGTGGGCAACGCTTGACAATTTTCGGGACCGAAAAGGCACACCAGCTTTGCCATGGAAAACTATAGTTACACTTTGGCTTGGTCAGGAAGATGCTGGCTTCAAAGAAAATAATCATCTGATCTGTCCAAAGTCTGTGTTTGTACATTGTTAATGTATGCTAGAGCCTATGTTTCAAGTGGTTGGATCCAGCCTCTCTCTCTCTCTCTCACACACACACACACACACACACACACATTTCACAGACAAGCCGTGTGAACACACATGAGCAGAGAGAGCTGCACAGGGGCTCAGTTTGCAAACAGCAGGCCTATAGGAACCTAACCACAGGAAGAAGGAATTATGGGTAGAGGGCAGAAGTCCCACTCTATAGAAAAATGCTCTAGAGGAACCTAGGTCTGAGATGGGCCTCAGGCATCTGTGTTTTAAACAAACTGGTTCAACAACCACACTCTGGGAAGCATTGGTAAAGTATCTTACACTGTATATCCCAAGGATCTTTGAATAGACAAGCAAGAAATAGAACACATACAGATTGTTTCACCTGCTTTGTAAACTGTCTTTAGAGGAAGACCTTGGAAGGATTTATTTTCTGGGGGCAATAGCGGTCCAGGGCTTAATTCCCCCAAATTTGAGAACAAAAATTTCACCATGTGACTTTGGTAGTAGAAAGGCTCCCCTATTTTCCTTCCCCAGCTCCGTCCCACTGTGGAAGGTCTCTGGACAGAATCTACTTCCCCAGTCCCACTGTGCTTCCCACTGGGCTGGGGTCATAATAGCACATTTGGATTCTCTGGTTCTTGAGGTCTGTTGCCAAGTCTTGCATTAAAGATTAGAAACTAGTTTCCTTTCTCTACTCTGTAAGTTTTGTGAAAGGACCTGACGACTGTGGTAGGAACGGTCATAACCTAGGAGTCAGGAGACCTGGATCTGCCATGGGCTTGCTTTGTTGTCCTGGGAAAGTCACTTCGCATCTCTGAGACTTACAGTCCCCATCTTGAAATTGAAGGGCTGGAGGAGATCAGTGCTTCCTGAGTGGTGGTCCTGGTCCGGGGAACTTCGAGGAATATAAATTCCTGGGTCTGGGGTGCTTGGGTGGCTCCGAGGGTTAAAGCCTCTGCCTTTGGTTCAGGTCATGATCTCGGGGTCCTGGGATCGAGCCCCGCATCGGGCTCTCTGCTCAGCGGAAAGCCTGCTTCCTCCTCTCTCTCTTTGCCTGCCTCTATTCCTGGGCCTGACCCCCCAGCAGCATCTCATTCACAGGTCCAGGCTAGTATTCCACAGTCGAATGCTTCAACAGAAGACCCTTAGGCATGGCATTATTTGGGAAGCACTGGACCAGATTATCTCTGAAGGCCTTTCCAGCTCTCTAACTCTATTCTGTTTAAAGCGTGTAAAGGTTTTAATGAAAGGAAAAATGGTATCAGAACATAATGGCCCAGTGACGGGAGAAGGCAGTATGGGTTTTTTCACTCTGACTTGTGACTGTTGTGTCATTTCAGACTGCCATATATTGTGCGTAACCTTCCTGAGTGGGTGTCAGAGGGCCAACGTTCATGGCTAGGGTTGCCCTTGATATGTCACCCCCCTAGTTGAGTGAGGGTCCTGCTAGCTTGTAACTTTGTGAAAACACGCAGCTCCCTACATGGTAATTCTGCCTCCGTCACGTGATTCTGCAATGGTGGAAACCCCGCGAAACAACATTAAGAATATTTTTAGCATTGGATTAATGGAATAAGGCAGAAAGATTTTCATGACACTAGGAGGAGGGGTTTCCCTCTGGAAGGTGGAGAGGAGTGTGGACTGTGGCCTGGAGCTGGATTTGTAGCAAGTGGAAGCTGAAGACCTCTCTTGAGGTCTCTCTCCTGTGAGATCTGAAATACTGAAGAACATGGAATTATTCTCTGGGTTCCTTCTGCTCTGCATTTTTAGGTTACATACAATGGATACCCTTAGAGCTGTTCGCAGTGCTCCTGCCAGAGATATTAATGTACAAGGACTCTTGGCAGGTGAATTCTTTTAGATATTGCAGCTGTGTCCTTTCCCTTGCTCTGGATCTTAATCTGGTTTTTGGATATGCATTCGCTTCTCAGACTGACCCAGGCCTGAGTTCCTGGTGGCGACTCTCTCTATACCTGATCCTCTGACTACACGGAGCCCTAAGCTCTTGGGGCTAATCACTGAACTACATCTCCACTAATCTTCTTTACGGGGCAGGGAGGAAAAACAAATAAACAAACAAATAAGAAGGAGCCAGGAGAGTCGAAGGAAAAGCACAGCCTCTTGGGCTCCTGGTGTCTGTGTCTCCTTTGTGTTCAATCCATACCAAGATGCCCTCCTTCCTCGGTTTAAAGTGTCTGGGGAAACTGTGCAGCTCTGGGAAAAGCAGAGTGTCCTCTTCTGAGAGAGCCGGCAGCATGGGCTCGTACAGGAGGAGGCTGGTTGTGCAGGACGTGAGCATCGCCGGGACCCCCCCACCTGCTCACAGGCGGGCCACTATCACCCACTTGTTGTATCTGCACCCCGAGACCTACTGCAACCTGGAGCACTTGGTTAGCTGCCTGGATCCTCCCGGTAAGTGAAGGAGCCCACTCCGCACGCAGCTTCATGTCTTGGGATTGGCCTCTGAAGTACCATCTAGAGTCGTTCTTCCCTAATGCGTTCCTCAAAAAAACCCTATGCCTTATACATAATTAACGGGGGGAGGGAAACGTGTAGAAGAGGAAAGTAGCGTGCAACCTGAATACAGCTATGGAGCAAGTTCTGAGGATATTCTCGTTCAGGACTTTATAATCTCCGTAGCCAGTGCATCTCTTTCCGAACTAGGAAGTGTGATGGAAGGGAAAGAGATCTGGCCACCCACGCTGTTCTTCCGTATGTTCAAGCATCGATCAAAAAGACATATTCGAGGCAGCCTGTTGACAATAGTCAAGAAAAACCTCTGGAAAGGCGAAATCTCAGTTGTGTTCCTGCCTAGGGTGCGCTCATCTTGTGCGATATTTACTAAAGAAAAAAGGAAAAATAGTTGTAATCTTTGGAGAACTGGTCGAGGCTTCTTTGCAGCGAAGCTCATGAGAACGTGGTCACTTGTCCAGCTGCCTGGGAAAGAGAGAGAGAAAGCCCAGCCTGTGGGCGAGCGTGAGCACACTGGGGAGTTTGCACACTTTTAATTTATGATTAATGAAGAAGATACTTAGCTGCCCGCTCCTTGTCCAAATCAGGCTCGAATCAGTACAGGAGGGAAAGGCTATTGGATGTGGTCCCTGCAAACTAGGAACATGGGCCACGTTCTGGTGACTTTCTGAAGTCAAATAGAGAGCTGCTAATACCTGGGCACGGTTGGATTAAGGTGAGGCACAGTGGGTGAGTTAACCTGGGGGTGTTTCATTTTGCTCTTTGCAATTCTCTTTTTAACAGCTTTTTTTTTTTTAAGATTTTATTTATTTATTTGACGGAGAGAGATCACAAGTAGAGAGGCAGGCAGAGAGAGAGGGGGAAGCAGGCTCCCCGCTAAGCAGAGAGAACCCGATGCGGGGCTCGATCCCAGGACCCTGAGACCATGACCTGAGCCAAAGGCAGAGGCTTTAACCCACTGAGCCACCCAGGTGCCCCTTTTTAACAGCTTTTTGAGGTAGAATTCATACACCATACAATTTACCCATTTAGAGTATATGTGACTTTAGTTCATTCACTAATATACACTGATACGTGCAACCATCATCACGGTGAATTTTGGAATATTTTTATTGTTTCAGAAAGAAATGCTATACCGTTAACTATTCCCCCATTACCACACTATCCTTCCCACCCCACCCTGAGCCTTGGGAAACCACTTATTTATGCTCTGCCTCTACGGATTTCCCTATTCCGGACATATCCTATGAGTGGAATCATATGCTGTGTGGTCTTTTGTGTCTGGCTTCTTTCACTTAGCATGTTTTCGAGAACTTCCTTCCCTGGGTAGGCTACATAGGGTTGCACTGTACGCTTAAACCACAGTTTGTTTATCCGCTCATCAGCTGATGGACATTTGGGTGGTTTTCCCCTTTTTTTGCTGTTATGAATAATGCTGCTATAACATTCATATACAAGTTTTTGTGTGGACATATCTTTTCATTTCTCTTGGATCTCTCAGAAGGAGAGAGATTTGCAGGTCACATGGGGACTATGTTTAACCTTCTGAGAAACTGCCAGACCATTTTCAAAGCAGCTGCACCACTTTATGCTCTTATGGGCGGCACAGCCTTATGGAAGGCTACAGTTCCTCCACATCCTTGCCAGCCCTTGTTATTATCTGACTTGTGATTCTACGCATCCTAGCAGGAATAAAGTGGTGTCTCACTGTGGCTCTCCTGAGCTTTGACAGGAGCAGGGAGGAGTGGTTGGCAGATGGATGCTAAGGCAGGGCGGGGTGGGGACCTGACATACTGATGTGGACAGCTCCTTGGTTCTCACATTCCCCAACAGTCTCCACTCCATCCTTTTCAGGGGAGCCTGGAGTAGGGATGGAGAAGCCATGACAGATCTCCCAGCTGCCTTCTAAGCTACCCTAGAACAACTGTATTCAGAACCCGCTGACCACACCTACCTCTCAAGCATCACATTACCATGCTGGTGGAAACCTAAATGGCTTTATTGAGGGAAAAAAGGTTTATTCCACAATTAGAGATAAAAACTAAACACGCAGGTTTCTGCTGGAGCTAACACTTTATTGTGACTGTGTTTGGTGCTTCTACTGAATGCTTCCACTGAAAGAGATTCAAATCAGATGTTTTGGGACTGAGCCGTTGATGCTTGTGAAAGAGATAATGTCTGCTGGTAGAAGAAGGCAGGAAGTCAAGGGTAGACCAGTAAACCATGGTTGAAAGAGCATGTGCTGGAAAATGGCTTGTCAGTAGGTTCAATAACAAGAGAACAAACAGTATCAAAGAGAGGCTTTGATACTGGCTAGAGGAAAGAGTAACCATTATTGGGATGTCCATATCTCAGGGAAGGCAGATAAAGAAATCTGGGGGATTAGTTTAGCATGTGGCTTTGAAGTTGGACATTCTAGAATTTCAGTCCCAGCTCTTCTACTTACTAAATGTGTTATTTGGGGAGGATAGTGTTTCTAAGTCACAGTTTCTTCAACCATAAAGTATGCAGAAGAATGCCTACCTTCTATGATTGCAGTGAGCAGGTCCACCCCTAGGATATATGGATCCCTGGGCAAATATTGTTTTGTGGTGCCCCTGTGTATATGAACAGTTTGAGTCACCTGAAATCAATGTGTCAACAGCCTGATCTTGTTCCATCATGGGAAAGAAATATCATGCCGGCCGGAGGGACTGATCACTCACCAAAATCCCCTCCTGGAATCCAGTCAGTTCCAGGGCCCTGAGATAATCCCATTGACAGGAGACCTAGAGCTTCAGAGGGCATCTGGTCAACCCCCTGCCTAGCATGGGAGAGACATAGAGGATCATCAGAGAGAATTCCAAGAAGCAGGCTGCAGTGCCCCCCTCTCCCAACCCCAAGGCAGCACTGCTGGCTCTAGTTGGTCCCGGGCACCAGAAGGTATGGTTTAGGGCCAGGAGCCCAGCCAAAGGGCAATGTCGATTATGAGGATTAAATGAGAACACGCATATGAAAACCGTACAGTACAGGGGCACATGTGAGCATCCACTAAATTTTAGCTACAATGGGAATACAATAACACTGTTTATTATTTTAAAAAAATAATGATTTCTGTTTGTCTGCCACTGCTATGAAGCAATGAAGGCCCAGGCTTTGTGCCACCGCCGGGGCCCAGAACAATACAGGAAGTGGGATTCCCAGGAAGCCACCACGTGTGCTCAGAGTATCCTGTTTGGGACAGGTGCTCGGAGGAAATGCACCCTCCCGCAGCCGTGCGTGTTCCTGTACTAGCAACGCCGCGTGCTCGGGAGCACCTCCTGGCAGGATGCTCGGGGATATTTGGCAAAGGCCTCCTGCAGCTGCCAGAAAGACCTCAAGATGCTACAGCTTCCTGTTGTTGTCTGGGGCTCGACTCCTACTTGGAGTTGTGCAGGCCTCCGTGCTCCTCAGAGTGTCCCTACGTGGACCTTTCCTTTGTCATGCTCAAAACAACCTCGCAAATTGGTAAGGAAGAAACTATTTTCTCCGTTGAAGAGCAGGAAGGGAATTGGCAAAAAACAGGGACATAGCGACAAAGCACACAGGTCAGCGAATGCACAAAACAGCTTCTGCGTGTGCAGGTAACTGTCTCACGGTGGCCACAGTACCATTCTAGAAGAACCGCTGAGATTCACGGAGGACCTGCTATGCCTCAGACATTGTGTTCCATTGCTTTATCATTGTCCCCATTAAATATTCATAATAACTCAACAAAGGGAGGACTACTGTTAGCCTCATTTTATAGATAAAGAAACGGAGGCATAGAATGCTACAAGAAACCTGCCAAAAGTCACATAGGTAGTGAGTAGAAGAGCTAGATTTGGACTTGATGCCAGCCTGGTTGAATACCCAAGTTTAGGGTCGTACTCATGTTGCTGTATGGCCTCAGTCCTACGAGCAGAAGGACAGCCCTGAGATCGGCTAAGCATTGGCACACGTATCATTTTTAAGTAGTAGGACGAATTGAGTCCTCTAGCAACTCAAATTTGAAGACTCTCATAAAATAAATTGTTTTCCCCAAGAAAGTGAGCAAACCTTGCTTTTCCCTGGTTCACAAAAACAAGCTATCCGTATGGGGTTTTCTCTTGGCTTTACTGTAGCAACTCAGATAAGTTTTTGCACCTGGGATTTTTTTGTCTCTGAGCTGTTGTGACTAGTGAAAACGAAAGAGCAAATTTAGGGCAAGTATCTTCTTGACAAACAAACAAGGAGAGACTGGCACTGTTATCAAACACCCGAAGGATACCTGGAAAGGGTCCAGTGATTATGTTGTCAGCTGAGTCCAAATCCCAAAGCAGAATGTTCTGGACTGAAGACCAGGGACCAAAGTAGACTTGGCAGTCCTCTCCCTGGAAAAATAATTCATATCCCTGAAGAGGGAAAGGTGTTTTTGCTTCAATTCAGGCACCTGCTGTGTCCTCCTTATTATGTTTAATATACCTCTAGGGACTATCTTCACTGGGGATAGTCTCCCCAAGACTCAAAAACTCAGATTTACCACATGACGGAGGGAACCTTATGGGTGTTTGTGCATTGTTATTTCTTAAAGTGATATCAACCTGTTTTCAAACTGACCATAACCATGATTCTGCCACTTTCCTTTTTGTGTCCCCTTCTCACTCTCACTAATCCCAACCCATCAGACATATGGCAAAGGGCCAGAGGAAGGGCTTTGATGTTGAGGGACTTTGCTGTCTTGTTCAAAGAGATACTCCTCAGGACTCCGTGGAGCTTTTCTATCGAATCTTCCTGGTGCTACTGAGATGCTATGTTGGGAACATGTTTTTCATACTTTGCAAACCTCAGACTCCATTGTAAAGACCCTCCCTTACATGTAAGAGAAGTACTTGATCCTGCCATGGAAAACAGTGTATTCCAAGAGATACTGCCAGAAAGAAGGTCTGGTTCCTCCCTTCAGC